GAAACCATCAAATAGCAGAGTATGTTTGGACCAATCAACATAACATCGAGTGGTCCCAAGCTGAGATCATACACAAAAAGGAACATTAGTTTGGGAGGAAATTCGAAGAAGCCGCATACATATTGTCCAACTATGTATTCAGCCAAGCTAGCGTCGAGATACGCAACATATGGAAAACCATAATCAAGCAAAAAATGGCCAACTCCCACCAAATGATCATCTTCCACTAAACTGGTAGAGCGGAAAAAGGAAAGCAGAGATAAGTAAAAGTACTCGAATAACCCATAAATAGTCATTTCTCGAAGGAATTAGTAGTCATCACCAGAAGATGATTGTGGATACTAACAATCGAAACGTCGTGAAATAACTTGAGATCTCTTGTTTTTTTATTTGAATTTTTTGTTCAATTGTTCCATTTTTGTATGTATTTCATTTCACTATCATTTCATTTCAGGTTTTTTGCTTAATATAATTGTCATTTTCAGTTATTCTTGTGAAATTCTTCTTTTTTTATTAGTTCTTTCAGGGATTTCAGACAATGGAAGTCCGAACTAATAAAATTCTTCATGATACATGTTGACTCAATTCAAACAAATTCATTTTCTTTGTCATTTCAAACATAAGAGTGACAGTTCATTGAAATTAAATTAAAATTAAAATAGGGGTGAAGGTCGAAAAGGAAGTAAACTGAAAGTCAGTTATCGTTAAATCATCTCAATATATTTTCAGAATATGTTAAGTATATAAGAATTTTTCAGTATATGATTTTCTGTAGCACATTGGATTTCTTTGATTTTTGAGATTGTTTGAAACTTCATAGGAAGCGGTTATATAATTTTGGCCTGAAAAAAAAAAGAATTTTCGCGTATAGTATTTTTGGTAGGTAACAGGGATTTTAACGTTCAAGTTATCAGAAAATCTACTTTGTCTAAAGTTGTTGCTGTATATTTTTTTAATTTGAAAAAATCCAAATCAAAACTGGTAGAAGTAGTGTGCTCTAACATTCAGTACCTACTTTGGTTTCTTGGTATAGGTTTTGGGTCGAAAACCGTCTCTTTTTGATATTATTTTGAATAAGGAATTCTGCATGAAGATCTATCAAAGTATTGCAAGTTCTCCCCATACAGTAACACAATATCGTAATATACTTTCGTATAGATGTATAGATAACATACTGGAGATTGCTCTGAGATTTTATATGTACACTATTTTCATACTCATGGAATTTAGCGTTATCCTGATGGATGAAAAATGAGTGAAGCGAGTCATGCGAGACCTCCATTTTGGCTAGAATGCGCTTTCTGAAATGATTTGTAGAAGAATTCAAAAATCATGTGCAAACAAATTCACCATTTTCTATCAAATTAGATAATAATAAGGGCCCATTATTTTTATGAATGTAGAAACACTCGTATAACAAAAACATTTGCGTGACAAAGATAATTTCGTTGCGGAGATAGCACATACCTTCACTTTCCATGTCATTATTTGTATATCTAATAGCGGCGATTGTTACCGCCGTACGTCATCGCCGTGTTTATGTAGTATTCATACGAACAAAATATCGAATATTTACACTCAGATTTTTTTTGTGGTCAGCGAAAAAATTTTTTTCCGTTTTCACAGCCTGAAATTCACTTCGAAACTTGCGCCTCAAACTGTGAATAGCTTCAATTCATTCGACATACTCTTCAGAGGTTTATATTAAGTAGTAACTTTTCTGGTGGACTCTTCAGTTTCCCTTCATTGCAGTTCGGCAGATTTTCCATTCAATTTTACTAGTTCGGACTTCCATTGTCTGATTAAATTGGAATAAATGGATAAAATATCAATAATATATAAGCAATATAACGTGAAATGGAAATACAATGAAACGTATCAAGATAAAAGATGAAAAATAACCGAAGTAAAAGAAATGAAAATTAAAACAAGCAGATAATTATGAAAGAAAAAAATATATAAAAAATGAATGGAGTTACTTCTTAATGTTTCGATTGTTAGTATTCACAATCATCTTTGGTTAATGACTGAGACGTAAACGAGTGAGAATACTAACAATCGAAACGTCGTGAAGTAACTTGGTTCAAAAGTATTCTTTCAGTTTTTCCTTTTTTTATTTTTTCATTTCCCTTTTTTTATAATCATTTACTCATTCATGTTATTTTTCAATTAAATTTTTTTTCACTCTGCAGTCATTTCTCATCTTTTATCTTGATTCGTTTTATTCTATTTTCATTTCACGTTTTAATGTTTATACATATATAATTGATATTTTAGCCGTTGATTCTATTTATTTTTCATAGATTTAGAGTTATATTAGAATAATATTAGACATTTCAAGTCTGAAGTAATCTGTGTCAATCATCAGCTTTTATTATCGAAGTTGTACAACTATGGAATCAGAGGCTCTGCTTTTAATTGGATTTCTTCCTTCTTAACTGAACGTACTCAGTATGTACAAATTTCGGAACGTATTTCCGAAGCAAACACCATCGTTAATTCTGAAACTAAAGTGGTTAACATGGGAGTTCCACAAGGGTCTATATTGGGGGCCAATTTTATTTTTATTGTATACCAATGATCTTGAGAAATACCCTACAGAGATCTCTGCTACCATGTACGCTGATGATACTTCTGTGATAATATCGGACAAGGATGAAATTGCAGCACAACAGAAATGCGAACAAGTTCTCAGTTCTATAAACGAGTGGTTAGCCTAAATTCTTTATATCTGAATGCAACGAAAACCCAAATCGTCAAATTTCATAATTGGCAAAAAAATTGTGTTTCATTAAATGTTTGCGTTAGTGACACACTAATATGTAACATAAACGAAGTAAAATTTCTCGGACTAGTTGTCGATGAAAATATGAACTGGAAAAGTCACTGCACTTATTTGAATAAAAGATTGAATTCTTTATGCTATATGTTCAGAAGTCTCAAGCAGGTCCTGGAGGAGCCTCAACTACTATCCTTATATCACTCCCAAGTAGCATCTCGAATTAGGTATGGAATTTGTTTGTATGCCAACTCCACTTCAATAGATGACGTTTTTATCATGCAAAAAAGAGTTGTAAGAATTGTGGCCGGCGTTTCCTCCACGAACTCTGCTAGAGGACTGTTTGTTAAATATAACATATTGACATTATTTTCACTCTACATATATGAACTTTGTAATTATTTTCATGAAAATAAAACTGAATTCAACAAAAATGCAAACCTGCATGACGTTAACACTCGTCAAAAAAATCATTTTCTCATTCCATTTTGCAAATATAAAATCACTTATAACTCACCTGATCATATGGGGCTGAGAATCTATTACAGAGTACCCCACGATATAAAAAATGTCGATGGATGTAGGAAATTCAACAAGATACTGAAAAAATTTTTAATTGAAAAATGTTTTTATTCATTGGATGAATATTTTAATATATAGTTGGTGATAAGCCTGTTACTGTCTAGCTTATCAATCTTTTTACTTTTTTACCTTTTGTTGTCCCGACTATTCCTATACATATTGTACTATGTCTTTTGGAAAATAAATATTATTATTATTATTATCATTAATTCACTAAGAAACATTGTCACACTTTCAAGCTGAATCAACGAAAAACTCTTGATTCTGCTTTTTCAGATTATGGAAGGTCAATCTACTCAAAAAAAACAGTGGGAAGTATTGAGTCCTCCACAAAAAAATCAAAGAAAAGATACACTACTGTTCTTAAAGTCATAAAAAGTTTCCATACAGTGTTTAAAAGCCAATGAATAAATTCATTTCGCTTACTGTACATATTTAAAAAAATCCCGAAACACGTCAAATTTGAATTATAATTTGACATTTTACAACGTAAACATGCCACCCCTACCTTCAACCCCCTTTGAATGACAGATACAACCCCAAATTTTTTAAATGGGAAGTATAGGTTTGTGATATATCGCTCGGAAGGTATTTTTATTACTGCAACAATTAAGATAAAATAAATTCAAATCATGTGGTTACCGAAATTCGATAAAATACACTCAAAAACTCAAATGTAATGCAGAAGGTAATGTAATGTAGAATACCAAAAGGGACTATGGATGTTAACGAAGTAGATGTGTTCACCGCGAACGTCTTGGCAACATCCTAATCCCAAATTGAACTGTCTTTTGATATTATCTGACATGGAGCAGGATGGAGCATCACCATTAACGTAGTGGTGCCACATCCTGCTGAAACCATATCGTATTCACCAATTGTAGGAACCAATGATATGGTTTTCTACAATCCCTGCCCAAACCATTATTGCGTGAGTTCTTCTCTCGTCCAGTGAGGATTTTCCGTTATCCGTTAAGAGACAAAGCATACTTGCCGGAAAACATAAAGTCTTCTAACTGGATGTTATTGTTATCTAACATGTCCATCTTTTGCTTATAAGAATAAGTTCTCAAAATCGTCTTCCATGAGCCCCTGAGTAGGTATCATTTTATAGAAATGCATTTTATTTTCTTTTAATGTGTTTACTATCGATGTATGGATGACATTTAATATAGTAGACGCCTGTCTACTCCATGAATGTGGGTTTTCCTCAAACTCAAGCATCACATCTAATTTGATTTCATCACTCATTGCACTGGCAGCTGCTTTTTTATCTGCCACACATGACCAAACTCGCGAAACTGCTTCTCTATTTTGCTTCTTGTCCCTCGAGATATTGGCGGTTAATTAGAAAATTGAGGGTCTGTTATTTTATGCATTTTCTAACCATTTGTGAGACTTGAAGTTAACGAACTTTGAACTTGAATTAAAATACTGACAACCAATGCTGTAATATACAAAACAAGTTCACAAGGCGTTTTGAACTAATGTTGCCACGGAAATTATTTACAGTTTTTCACCTCAACCTGAAATAAGTTTTGAGTACATTGCATAATGCCAATCTGAGAACAGATTTCAACAGACTATATTCAGCATGGAATGTTGCATCCTGTTTTCATAACTTCATTTTCATTTTCAGTGAAACCACTGACTGCAAAAATTCTAAGAACAGAGAGTCCCCTAGTAGCTGATAAGCGGTACGAAGTTTCCTGTGAATCGGCTGGATCTCGGCCATCAGCTATAATCACCTGGTATAAAGGAAAACGTCAGCTGAGGAGGACAAAGGTACGTTCTTTTAGTAATCTGATATTAATCGTTATCCAAAACAGATACATTTTCTGTTTTTAACAATTTCGAAAGTAAAGTAAAGTATCAATTGAAAGTAAATATAATTCTTCCCCAAATACAATTGACAAACTGGTTGACAACCACAGTTTTCAAGGTTCCTGGTTGTATCTGTGAAGAAAAGTTTCTACTAACGCAAAGAAAATAAGTTTAAACTGATACACACCATCTGTGTATTCATTTTGTGTGCAATGCTTATTTTCACTAGAATTGTACAAACATTTACTTTGAAAAAATAATCTTCAGTATTTTCTATATGGAAATGACGTTCCCAAAAACTTGTGAATAACAGTCCTACGACGTCCTTTATTGGTTCCTTGAATTTGAAGAACAGTCATAATCGTGAAAAATATTTTATATGCCTATTCTATAAGCCAGTTTTCAATCCAAATATTTGAAAATCACAGAAAATATCATGAACAGAGAATTGAATGAAACGAAAAAAAAATCCAATGACTTGCTCATTCTGATCTCCAAACGTTTGTACTTCGAGAATGAATGCAATATTTTTTTCAATATAATTCCTTGAGCCGATAATTTCGTTGAAAATCTTTGTTTATCAGCAGAACTTACATTTTTGAAACTGATATATGATTTGATTCGAAAGAAATATATTTTTTTTATGAAAGAAAGATTTTGGCTTTGTACTTTCCGTCTTTATACAACAAAAAAATAAGCAAATTGATTACATTATGTATTGTCGTCGATAACACGAGTAGATTCAACTCATTCATGATATAATGATATAATGTCGTAGTTTTATGAATGAATTGAGTGCCTTATTTCGTAATGTTATTCAAATTGATGCTGAAGAGGTAATAAAACAAATGTGTCATTTCGAAACATTGATATCTTCCCTATATATTCGGGAGGGCCCGCCAGCATTATCAACGAACGACCACTCCCCACACAGTGGAGTGAGTAACCATTGGGTACGAGAATCGTGTGCCCTGAGTTAGCAGAGTGAGCCAAGAATGACAGCCTTCAGCATCTGTCCGGCTAAGATTTCTGCATGAGTGTGGCAAGCCAGTATGAGTTTGAGATTCGAGAGTAGAGAGGGCATCATTCCACCAAGGTCTCCAATAATCAGAGTCACCTTGACAGAGTGCTCTGCATAGAGTCTGGGGAGTTTGAAGAGAAAATCTCGATATTTTATCCGTTTTTTCACCTTTTTTCGGACGATATTCATCTCGCCAGTAGCTGAAAACTCCACGTATTGCTCTGTTGGTCGAGGACTGCATCAGGTTTATTAGCTTGTCTGAGCCTGGGGATGGGGAACGAATAGTTCCAATAAATTTGGCACTTCTCGTTCCCCACAGCGGATTCAATATCCCTCGGAGCATAGGGCAACACCAGTGTCTCGTCAATACCGTAAGAGTGCCGTAGATGGTAATATAGCACTCTTAGAGCCGCGTTATGTCGATGGATATAGGTTAGGACCGCATATGTTGGACATGCTGATAGCAAGTGCATTAGGGTCTCGGGCGCCTCGAAGCAGGCTCTGTACCTTCTGTCAGGAACCTCTATACCCATCACGCGACTCGGTAGACTGAGGTGTTGAAGACACCATCCTGGCAAGACACGATGAATCCCTCAGTTTCCATCTCCAGCCCACTCGACCTGAGGAAAGCGAAAGTCATGCGCTTTTATAAGTCAAGGTCTAAAATGTTATTGAAGAAAACGACATTCATTGGTTTACTTTTGTGTTTTCGCAGAAGTGAGGTGATCTCTGTGGCTTTTATATGACCTTTTTGCTGAACGATGACAGAGTTGTGATCACCTCGTTCAGTGTCAAAAACTGAACCGAGGTCATCAGCTGCTCGGGCAGCTGCCCTAGAGAGAAATGATCTCTCATGGTTGTGGACCATATAGAGAAGGTTATCAGAACTCCTGACGACTTTACAGGCTACATCAATTACATTCTGTCATTTAGACACTCAAAACTCAAACTATGGTCCAGACGTTCTTGAGTTCTTTTAATATTGTTATCATTGATAAATTATCATAATTCAATACCTATTCACGATGAAGACGACTCCAAAAACACAAAAATCATAAAAATTGTTCCAACCGTTCTTGAGTTATTTTAATATCATTATTTTCAATATTCAACCTTTTGAATTTTCCCTGGAGTCATCTATTGCGACTTAATCAACTGTCTTGGTTGAGCCAAATAGAGATGTAATACAAAATATAAAGAACCGTTATCATGATTTGTGATATGCAATAACATCATGTCTTTTCCTACAAACAACTGGTCAAACTTGGCTCCATTTGAGCTTCTACTCACAATGTAACATAAAATAAATCTCCATAAAAAGCTGTGGCATTTATCATTTTATATTTATTTATATAGTTCATTCCTTTCAGACAGCTCAACTCTATACTTCATTATGTCAGTTATTTCAATTTAATATAAGTTACACTAGTCTATTTATGTTCAGGCATGAATTGAGCATATTCAGTTTGAAGATTCGATATTCAATTTTGAAAATTTCCAACAAAATTTCGTGTCACAGTAGCTTGGTATCTTTCGATTTCCATCCACCCTTTAAGGATAATTCTTTTGTCCATCCACAAATACCCAGATTTCATTTCAGCAAATTTTAAAGCATGAGGAATACAAATAAATCCATGTGACATTCAAAATTATTCCAAAAGCAATTATTCCCGCTTCTGGAAATCAAGACTCAGTCACACGCACAATATCAATTTTCCAAAGTTAAACGGTGGAAGAAAAAATGTTTAAGACATGCATCAGTCCTTATATTCATGCTGAAAGTCTATAAATCAAAATATGTGCTTAGGCAGATAAGCCAAGGGACTAATTTCTAAGTGAAGTTGAACAAATCTGTTATCGATTCCATTTATTCTATTCAGTCAGGAGGATTTGCAAATGAACTTTTTCACAATGTTTTGCTTAAATGAAACAGTTTTGGAATCATCACAGGAGTCTGAAGCGAATAGACCTCAAAGTGTCAAAATCTTGTAGTTTTTCATGTGAAACATCTTTAGCCGCACGTCAAACCGATTGCTGACGTGGCGACGAGTTGCCATGCGCAAACGGCTGCGCGATTTTTTTCCCCACTATTTTGGCGTTACGTTATCTGTCTCACCACATTGAGGTGTATAGTGTTATGTTTTTCCCCGTGGGTTGACCAATAATAGGCTATACTGAAAAATCAAACTTAACTTTATTTCACTGCAAATACAACAAACACTTCAACTGAACTTCAACTGAATTTGAATGTCGATCGCCTTACTAGATCACTTTGCGTACCGCACTGTGACGTCCACTTGACTGTGTATATACTCGTGGCTAGCTTTTAAATATCGTAATCAAATGCCGTAGAAATTTCGCCAAAGTTCCGACGAAATCAGTAACATTATTCTCGCTGCTTCTAGAGTGACGGGAAATCATCGTACATTCGCGCGCTCTTAGCTTCGCCACGTTTGGTTTTTGGTTACCAGTGGCGGCCGGCGTTATTATTTTTTTTTTTCGGGTATGATTTACAACAATAGTATACAGTTCACTACAGTATACATAACCTGTATTTTACCAAATGAATAATCTTCAATAATATTTGAGTGTGATAATTTACAAAAAGAAAGTGAACAGCCTTCTACAAAGAAAGCAAAATCACTCTTCGACACACTCAAGTCATCAGTGAGTTCATAAAATTTTTATATTTTGTCTGCATCCATCTGTTCATTAGGCCCGCATATATTTATCTTTTATCTGTTTCAAGGTTCATTGAATGTTGAATCTACTCTCTTGATAGATTAAAACCTACACAATCTACGTAGCATATAATATTTCTAAATTATTCCATTATTCAAATTCAACATAATTTTTATGAAAAATAATGCACTGAAACACTTGCTGGAAAATAATTTTCATAAAGGTCGACAAAATTGTATTTCAAATAATAGAAAGTAACGTAAGAATGTTTTTTTACTTGTTATCAATAGGAACAGCAGAAAATTGAATAATCAAACCACTTTCCAATCATAGTGAAATTCATATTGAAATATTCATTATTGATATTTATAAATCAAGATCTCTAGTAATATATTGCAACTAGCGAAGAATACTTGAGTTTACTAGTATATTAAAGCATCAATAAAAGTTTTTCTTGTATTTTTCAATTACATATTTTTTAATAATATTTCAGTACCCAACAATCTTCACAGGGGTTACAAAATATCATCATTGAAACTGGACATCAAGATCACTTGAACACAAGAAATATTATAAATGTTATGTAAGAATTTATTATTTCAAAAGTATCAGAATGATCTCATTTTTGTTTAAGTTTGTTTTAACACTTTTATATTTTTTCAAAGTGAATTATATTAATGTTATGTCCAATAATTTTTCAACGTACTTCAGTTTTCATCGACCAGTTGTCACGCTAATACCGTCAGAGGCAATATCGAATATAACTATTACCGAAGTCACTGATTATAAGAACTGAGTTGTCACAATTTGAAATGAATTTTTGATTTTTGTATTTCATGAAAATAAATGTTCAATAAATTAACAATCATCATTTTCAGGCAAGGATTCGTAAAATTTGATTTTTACATTATGCCATATTAGTTTCTGGAGTGAGCTGTTCTTTAATGCACATCATTTTTACAAAATAATTTTGATGTTCCACATCTGCCAGGCGTACTGTGAGGGCTCACATTTTTTTAAACTATTCAGTGATTCTTTGAAATTTTTATTAATATTAGATTTAATTTATTTCGAAAATATTATAAAATAGTAATAAAATAATTATAAAACAACAATAAAAATTAATTGACGCTCTGAGGCGACTTCATTGATTCCAGTGGCGCATTTGCTTTTTTAGCTACCGAAAAACCCGGAAAAACCTGCTGCACCACATCATCTGAAGATCTTGATCTGCCAATGTCCTCTCTCTCATAAAACA